GTCTGTGATTGTAATAAAGCCGTATTTTATATCTATGATAAGCCTTTTCTTACATGTCTCAGTGAATACAACTGACCTCTTTCTGGAAGTCAGGGCAAGAAGCACTTTACTTATTAGCATACTTAATCTGCCACGTCAAATCAGGACAGAAAGTGGGTTTCATGATTACAAAGGGGCATATCTAATTCTATGTGTTTTCAAACACTAAACAAATATAAACTGTAACTATCCAAGCATTATCTAGGATTGTCTCATTTCTGTTCTTGGCAACATAATAATAATGCATACTATTTCCAAAATTTGATGTTTCAGGTAAATTTAAAAGTGCTGTAAATTCTGTTCTGTTCTGTTCTATTCGCTATTTGGGAAAGGGGAAGATGGTCCATGGCTAACAAGAAAGCATATAATATGTACATCCACCTCATTCATTATTTCACATGTTAATATAACATAGTAAACAAAAAGAACTAAAGTGGTATTGGGAGGAAAAAACAGAAGTGGTTTGCTAATGCCTTCTTCAAAGATATTCTTTTCAACTTCTCAGCTTACCCTATAGCTCTTAAGCTACTCAATGGCTACCTATCCAAGTACTCATTGGATTCAACTCAGCTTTTTCAAACAACCAAAGTCAACTTGGTGAATAGGAAAATACCCCTTTCAAATCTCATATCTCATGAATTCACCAAGCAGGCTTAGGGGTACCGCTACAGAGATTCCTTTTGTACTTTATTTAAAAAAATGGTTGAACATGAAAGCTTTAACACAACTAAGGCTGCCTACTTTTCCAGAAATATTATTAAACTCAGTTACTTATCTCTAAGCTGAGTCACACAGAATTGTGCTGCAAAACTATAGTCAATACAACTGCTACCCAAGTTAATTATGTTTTATAGCAAAATCCTATAGACTAGTTCTTTAAAGTTGCTGCTCTCACAGCCCTCTTTGAAGAATATCTTCAGAGAATGCAGTATTGAAATCAAGGACATTTTTGGAATTAGGTATGTTCCAGAAGTGTTGGACTACAACTTCAAGAATTCCAGAATTATGAATTCAACACAAGAAGAGGGCTTGGGGAGATAATCTAAAAATATCCACAATCTTCAACTTCTGAAAAACAAGGACTTGTTCGATAGGTAGTACTCATCAGGATCTAATAATCTGCCAATCCGTGACATGAAGTATTGTTTAAATGCCAATTCTGTGCTATGACTGCATGTAGGAAATTAACAATGTATGCTTGCTATATAACAGATGGTCAGTGCTGAGCAAGAGAAGATAATATGGTATAAAATAAGGCTGAAGTAGAAACACTAGCTAAGGTAACCTTTTCAAAGCAAACTAATTAGCAGGTGTTGAGGAACTTATGGCAACAAGCATTAAAACCAACAATAAAAAGTGTATCTTAAAATATATTCAAAACTGGAAGCCAAACAAGAAGGTTAGAGTCATGCTGGATATCTCAATGAAAATAACAATCCAGTGTGCGACAGCTTTAAAAAAGTGAACTTCATGCAATGAATTTAGAAAAGGAATAAAAATAAAATGCCAATATACTAATGCAGTTATATAACTATGTGGTGTAAAACCAGATGGGGAATTATTTCACAAAGGCTACTGTAAAGCTGAAAAACATGCTGAGAAATGGAGTAACAATCATTAGAGGGCTACAATAGCTATCCAAAGAGGAAAGACTCTTTAGAAGGTTTAGTATTTAGAACTTTTTGACTCAGAGCAAAGAAGAGAAAGGAGGGAGAAATATAAAATCATGCATAGTTGTAAAGAAAGGTTTTTCCCCCTTTCGTATATTAGAATTCAAGATTATTGAAGTCAAATATGGAAAAATTTGAAACCAATATTCTTTTCTCTCGGTATAACACAGTTACTTTATTAAATTCATTGCCATCCCACATGATGAATTTAAATGGCCATCTAGGGGACTTGTCTATGGAATTAGACAAATTTAAGAAAAACTTGACTGTGTTAATTAAGTGAATATGTTGATGGTTGCATATAACTACCAGAATCAATGGCAGTATGCCTTAAAAACTAGTTCTTATACAGCAAGCAGTTGAAAAGGACTATCACCCTTACATCCCACTTTGAAGCTTCTAGTTTGCATCTGGCTGACTCTTTGGTATCCTGAATGCTGGACTACATAGGTCTTTGGCCTGATCCAGAAGGAAATTTCTTCTTTTCTTAAATTTCATTCTCAAAGTGTGTATAAGTGTGAGGAATGTTTGTGTAAGGTACAATAATGAAAGTGGAAAAATACACAGAGAAAAGCCAAGGAAAGTAATTTGAGAAAGATTAATACTGTAAAAAAGGAGAACGGCTCTTCCCTCTCCCATTTCATGAAGTATTTGAGAGTGTTATTTGTTCTCATTTAGGTTCTGTAAACATTCTAATTGTGATAATAAAAGTTGCTTTTTATTGCAAGAGATAAACATTTATCAACAGAAACTGCATGTCAGACCTTGTGTGACAGCAATGATTAATTTCTTTAATCATCCATCTAAATGAAGTCAAGCACTAATGATAGGAATACAAGAGTCCTGACAACAATAAGAGAGCTGAAGTTAGTAGTGATCTAAATCAAGGTTCCTCAATCTCTCAGCAACTTTAAGATGAGTGGACTTCAACTCCCAGAATTCCCCAGCCAGCCATGCTG